AAAAAAAAAAAAAAAAAAAAAAGGAAGAGACTGCAGATCAAGCTGGGGAAGAAACACAGAGAAAAAATTATTCTGAATTGGCCGTGGCAGCCACTCGCACAGATAAGCCCGAGGCTAAAAGACACTTCTAGGAAATGGCACAAATGGCTCACGCAAACCGACTGGAGACGTACGCACGCAGTGCTGTGCGATCCCCGTGCCACCTCCACTCAGCCCCTTCGCCTCTCTCGGCCTGATGCCTCCTGAAAGGCGACACAGAGCTGGGAAGCGATCCTTGCAATCCAGCATGACCCACCCCTACCCCTACCCCTACCCCTGGAAGCGCCCCTGCGTGCACCCAGCTTCCTCCAGTGGCTACTTCAGGTCTGCAAGCATTCGGAGACACGAGCCTGGAGGGTTACATCAGGGTAGCAGAGAGTTTCTCCCTGTCCCTCCAGGGACTGCAGGGAGTTCCCAGGTGAGGAAGAGCAGCGGAAATAGGCCTCCATACTCCACGGTGCAGGACACTGGGGGGAAAAGACCCACTCAGCCCAGGAACTGCAAATACAAATGCTGTCCTGAGCAGGCATGATTTGCTGGCCCCTCTCCTCTTGGAGCTGTTTGGTGATGCCCAGAACACTTGCGGAGGCGCTGGTGCACGGAGCTGGCACCTGCTCCCCAGAGGGGATGGTGCAGGCATGTTGCCAAACCCCAGCTGCATCCCTATAAACCCACGTGGGCTTCTTCCAAAGCATGGGGGAGCCCTCTTTCCAAATCCAAGGGCACCAGGAGAGCAGTGCTCGAGGTGGGTGCCAGCAGGCTTCTGGGTCCGGGGGGCTCCCTTGACACTGCCCAGTGAAAACAGGCAGCACCTTTGCACATCTCATCCCATCCGTGGCTTCCTAGCTGAGCCTATGGAGCAGCTGTGCATCTAGCTAGGGAAGCTGCATCCCAGCCAGGCTCCCTTTGACACAAGCAAGCTCCAGCAGCGACCTGGTAGCAGGACAAGTTTTTGGAGCCCTTGACCCAACTAAACCAAGCATACTCCGCCCACAACTTTTGGATCCTGAACACTCAGTCCCAACTTCACCACTCCCCCAACGTGCATGGAAAATCAGCAGCCTCATCAAACAGGAGAAGGGACAGAGAAAAAACTCCCTTGCCCATGCCTGTTCTTAATATACAACAGCAATACCAAGGCTCCAAGGCCTAGGGATGCCACCCTCACCCTTCACCAATGCTGCCCTCAAGCATTTAACTTCTCTCCATAGGTCAGGGCCAAGAGGTTGATGGGACGAATAGGCCAGAAACATGAGGAGCCTGGTCATGGAGAGCAGGTGCAGGTTGGCCCATCATGAAGACTGTCCGACAAAATTCAGGCAGCCCAGATATCTCACCTAACTAAACTACTGAATGGGGTATGACAGCCGGACCATAGGATGAAAGAGACGGCTCTACAGGCTGCCTGCAGGTCCCATAACCAGATCCAAGTATCTGCAGGTGCTATGAGCGTGCGGGTGCCAGAGCAGCCTCACCTGGTCAGGACGTGTTGGTGAGTCTCCTTCCTTGGGGAACCCAGGGTTTCTGCTCGGGGCTGTGACTGCAGGTGTGCAAGTGGGGGAAGTCGGTCCGTTCGGTGGGGTTTCAGGAGTGTGGGAACGCAAGCTAGGGCCAGGCTGCCACTGTGCACAAACAGGTCTCTTGGCAAGGAAGCGTGGCCTCTCCGCACACTCAGGAAAGGCTGCCCTCCTGTGCGTGACGGGTGCACCGCTTTACTGCTAAGGAAACAAGCCCATCCACCCAGTTTTTATTTCCTAGCTCAACACCAGCTCCTCCGCAGTGACCACGCTCCTCTGTATCCTCATGAGGAAAAAAAAGCTCATTTGCCACTGCCTAGGACTCCAAGCTCAGGGATATAAACTCCAAGGACTGATTTGCCAAAGCCAGCTTGAATGTTGACTATCAAACATACCGAACTACTTGCAAACAAGCACCGAGCCAAGAATTATTCACAGAAGTTACAACAGACAAACAAACACTTTCCACCCTTTTATGGGCAGTTTGGCTTTCTCTTCCTTCTGTTTGCAAAGAACAAGTTATCCTGCGTAAATTATTTCTCTAGATCCAACTCTGACTTGATAAGCAAGGCATCAGAGGGGCGGGAAGGGGAAAGAAACCAAAAAGCCCCTGTGCTTAGCTTTATTCTTACAAACCGAGGTCAGGGCCTAGGTGCTGTACACACAATCACAGTTAGACGGGATTAGAGTTCAAACAGACAAGAAGGACTAAGGAGAGGGGAGCAAGGACTTGTTTAAGGTCATGGAGCAGATTCAGGTAAGAGACAGGAGCAGAGCCCAAATCTCCTGGCTCCCAAACCAGTGCCGGGGGCACTGAACCATGCTACTTGCCAAAGCCCTGAAGGGTTTTTTCTCTTTTTCCCTGCTCATTGCTGTCTTTCAGAAAGGCCCAGAGATAGCCTCACTCTCTCTCACACGCTTTTCTGTTTTATTTTTCCACCTCGGGAACTGACAGCAGGATGCGACGGAGGACTGGAGCCCCCCTCTTTCTAGCACATAAACAGGGCTCCCTGCTGCAGCTGTCTACTAACAACCCAAAGGAAAAAAAAAGAAAAAAAACAGAAAAAGAAAGACCACAACTCCTCCATGCACTGGGGTCACCTTCCCCAGGAAGGAGAGTCCTGGACTGACATTTCTACTGAATCATATGGTGCCTGCTGGCAGGCACCATGGCTCCCAGCCATCCCCAACGAGCCTGGCTTGTCAAATTTATTACACTAAGGATGCTCTGTCTATGCCAAACCCTGGACTGAGCAAGTCAGAGGCAAAAGAAAAGCAGCGAGGTAGCTCCATGCATGCAGCCGACCCTCAATACCCTGCTGTTTCCCTGCAGTCAGGACACACGTCATTAGAAATAAAGCTCTCTCTCGCAGGCGCTTTTAATATTATTAATATATGTATTTTTTTTCTATTTTGCTGTGGCAGCACCAGTAGCACCACGGGTAACCGGACCTCCTTTGTGCCAGGCACTGTACAAACCTAGCAGCGACAGTCCCTGCCCCAAAGAGCTGACAAAGGAAGCATACGGCAAGAGGCAACAGGTGGATACACGCGGAGGGAGCGCAAGGCGCTGCTCCCCAGCTGCGCCAAGTATTTCTTAGGAGTCGCAGCAAGAGGGGGGTCCAATAAGCAGACCGTTAATCCGGGGCTCAGAGGGGCAGGTTGCTATCGGAGCAAGGAGTTAAAATTCCCTGCATGGCCTGGAGAGTGTCACTTAGTTTCTCCAAGCCTTTGTTTGAGCTGAAGGAGGGAGGAGGCACAGCCGGAAAGCAGCGTACTTTGGGCTGCTGGCACGCTCCGAAGAGGGTCGCTGCAGGCAGCCCGCATTAGTGCAACCTCGGGGGCTGCTTGAGTTTCTGCCAGGGACTGCTCCCGCCTGCAGCAGCAGCCCCTGAAATCCAGGGCTAGCAAAGGTGGTGAAACGTGGCGCCACCCCGAGCTGAGCCCCCGCGTACAGCCAGGACTCAGGCAGTGAAAAACCAGCCTCGTGCTCTTCCAGCTGGATGGGAGGCGAGTGCCTCACCCCAGTAACACTCCCATGCAGCTGCCTGCCGTGGAGAAAGCAAGCACACAGACGCAGCCACAAGCCCTTCTTTTTGTCCCCGAGTTTTCAGGTGCTTTCTGAAGCCCTGATCAAGCATAGCTGGGGTTCTCCTGGGAGCCAGGCACTTTCCCCTCCCCTCCCTCGCATGCTGGTTTAAGTCTGGCCACCTGAGCCCAGGTTGCAGGTGAAGTCAATTAAAGCAGGGCGAGCACTAGGGAAACACCCCTCCCTTCCCATGGGTCTGGGTCAACCTGAAGCCTTGCAAAGGTCCAATCTGTTACCCACCCCGAGAGTGAAAGAAGAGGGGAAAGAAAGGGGGGAAATGCTGGGGTGCAAGGAGAAAAAAAACAACTTAGCACCAATCCAATACAAATCTGAAGCAGTCACTGGCCAAACACTCACCCCCACCCGCTCCTGGAGCAAGGCGAGGTTATAGCAGAGCCCGAGCAGGCTGGCAGAGCAGAGCGAGAGGCCTTTAAAGGTCCGAGTGCATCTCTAGGTTGCCACAGATGTTCAAGCCTGGGGGGCAGGTCGCAGCGAGGGGCCGGAAAGCAAGTTTAGCTACCACCGAGGGAGCAGAGCAAGCGGCTGCTGGGAATGGGGCTTCCCCTGCCCTGCGGTCTCCCAGGCAGGGGCTAGTGGCTAGGACCGGCCAGCATGTGGCTAGCGACTGTAGAGCGCTCCTGCTCCCACTCTGCACGCAGGGCCGGGCCAGCCCCGGGTCCCAGGTCGGTGCCACCGCACCGAGCAGATCCCACGCGGGGGCAAGCAGCAGCCACTGGCTCAACTGGGAGCACACCGGTCACCCCCCTTGCAGCGCACCCCTGCCCCGGCACATCACAAAAGCAGCCCCGAGCCTTTGCACCCGGCTTTCCAGCCCGCCTGCCCCTTGCGCGGTGGGGCTGGCATGCGGGAGGGTGCCAGCGGGTGCAGCCAGAGGGCGGCGCTGTTCGCTCGCGGCCCGCAAACAGCCCCCGGGGGGGCATCACTCACCCAGCGCCACGTCCAGCAGGTCCCACAGCAGCAGCAGCAGCAGCAGGCGCAGGGGCAGGCGGCTCATGCTCCGCATCTTGGCCGCGGCCGGGGCACCTCCATGGGCTTCACACGCGCCCCAGCGC